GAAACCTGCTGAAACAAGCAATAGAATGTAGAATGTGACCCAGCCGTAACCATGTGCCCTTGGCGTGAAGACTCCATACATACACAACAAGAAATTGGAGAACCTAACTTGTTTTTATCAGCTGCCAATTATCTACGCATGTAATTGGTAGTCTCGTGGCATCACTCTACAAGCTTCCATTTCTCCCCATGCCGCCCAGTGATTGAAGCTGAATGATGAATAAAACTGGCAACGAGTTTTGTTCCTGGTCTCATACGGTACTCAACTATGGTATGGCGTCACTCCCCATTTTGGTTGTGATAACGACCGCTTACTAGCTACTTCTCTAGTTGCGAAGATCTCTTATATAAGGACTTTATCAATATAAAAAAAGAAAAGAAAAAGAATCTCGGGAATAATCTAGCAGCTGAAGCAATATTTCTGTCATACCTAGGTGCCTAGATGGTATTATAGGTATGCGGGAGCTAACTCCGGTGATCTACTCATGCTCGATGGCGGGGCGGTCAAGAGGGGGAGGAGATTTATAACCCCACCATTTTGCGATCCCGACTGATAGGCAGCGATAACAGCTGAGAGCGGGGTGATAAGGGCCGTTGGTAGGGGTGCTCCTAGTCGTCGTCGTTGAGACGGGGTGCGGCGGGACGAACGAGAAAAAAAAATTCGAAACGATAAAATTACTAAAATTTAGAAGTGTAGTAGTCATTGAGAGTCAGGTACAACTTGGCAATACATGGTAATTTTATGGGTATTACCTTAGGTAATTAATGTATGGGTCTACATAATGGGTGTGCTGGTATGGGTTTATGGACAAGGCTGGCAATGATTGCTACCTACCTACTATAACTTTGTTATGGTAGTAGTACTGATGCTACCTAGGTACTATAAGTAGGATCAATAACCACTATTGGGGTGCAAGTACTTAGGTAACTACCTAGCCAAGGCGGTCCGCATGCGTTGGGAATGTTTTGGATTTTCCTGCTGGCTGGTACGTGAAGTCTCTAGAAGTTTCGCAGCACGGCAGCTGCTACACAGCACGCCCCCGCCAAGGGGGGGTGTGGCTAAAGAGGGGTAAGCCGGGTGAGGCTAGACTGCACATAATTCGACCACAGGACAGACCTGTCCGCCTGTCCCTCCCTCTCCCACCTTGCTATTAGGTAGTCTACACTACAGTGCGCATTTGGGCAGCTTTTTTTTTTTCCTACACCATATTTAAGAGAAAGCCTCTTCTATCCTGTCGTGCTAGGTAGTCACTACGCTAGATACACCCGAAGCGCTGCACCCAGACGACTGAACATAGATTCCCCCCGCCGTCCCGACCTTCCTTCACCGCCCGAGCCTGGCCTCTCTCTTCTCGACGTGCTGTTTGTTGCCGCCATCTCTTCTCGCCTCTCCTCTAGAACACCCCTCCACCCATCCTTAGCGGAACTCCGTGCAACCAGACTACTCCGACTTGTTACGTCCATCCAGACAAGATGAGCGTCGTTGGTATGTCTCCTCGCTCTGGCTACTCATGCCGGCCATCCATGCGTCCGGCCTCTCGTCTGTCTTCGGTCTACTAACGCCGCCGTCCTTCAGGTGTCGATTTCGGAACGCTCAACACGGTTATTGCTGTTGCCAGAAATCGAGGCGTCGATGTTGTGCGTAACACCTTTCGTTCTCTACCCGTCCGTTTTATACTGTTGTAGCCCCGGTCGTAAGGCTGACAATTCACCTGTTGATTAGATCACCAATGAGGTTTCCAACCGGGCGACGCCGTAAGTGTTACCCCGCCTGGCTGGCAATATCTTCTTCCCGCTAACGTCCGCCTGTAGTTCCCTCGTCGGATTCGGCCCCAGGGCCCGCTACCTAGGCGAGCCGGCGAAGACACAAGAAATCTCCAACCTCAAGAACACCGTCTCCTCCCTCAAGCGTCTTGCTGGGCGCGCCCTGAAAGACCCCGACGTCCAGATCGAGGCGCAGTATGTCTCGGCTGCCCTTGTAGATTGTAATGGCCAGGTTGGCGCCGAGGTCTCGTACCAGGGCAAGAAGGAGAAGTTCACGGCGACCCAGCTTGTTGCCATGTTTCTAAGCAAGATCAAGTCGACCGCTGCCGCCGAATTGAAGCTGCCGGTGGCTGATGTTGTCCTGAGCGTGCCACCATGGTTCACTGACGTCCAGCGACGAAGCATTCTCGATGCTGCCGAGATCGCCGGTCTCAAGCCGCTTCGGATCATGAATGACACCACCGCGGCCGCCTTGGGCTACGGCATCACGAAGCTGGATCTCCCGGCCGACGATCAGAAGCCGCGCCGTGTTTGCTTCATAGATATCGGTCACAGCAACTATTCTTGCTCTGTAGTCGAGTTCAAAAAGGGCGAGCTGACAGTCAAGTCCACTGCCTTTGACCGTCACTTTGGTGGTCGCGACTTCAACTTGGCCCTGGTGAACCACTTTCAGAAGGAATTCAAGGGCAAGTACCGTATTGACATTGCGTCTAACCCCAAGGCTTTGGCTCGTGTCGAGGCTGGTGCCGAGAAGATGAAGAAGATTCTGTCCGCCAACCAACAAGCACCCTTAAACATTGAGTCTCTCATGAACGACATCGACGTTAACGCTATGGTCACGCGACAAGAATTCGAGGCCCTCGTTGAGCCGCTCTTGAATAAGGTCACAGCACCCTTGGAGCAGGCCCTTGCCGATGCTGGACTGACCAAAGATGATATCGATTTCATTGAACTGGTCGGTGGTAGCACTCGTGTGCCAGCCATCAAGGAGAGAATCCAGGCCTTCTTTGGCAAAGGTCTTTCGTTCACTCTCAACCAGGATGAGGCCATCGCTAGAGGTTGTGCCTTTGCCTGTGCCATCCTGTCACCTGTCTTCAAGGTCCGCGATTTCTCCGTTGCGGATATTGTTCACTACCCGATCGAATTTTCTTGGGAGAAGGACGTAGATATTCCAGATGAAGACACGAGCCTGACTGTCTTTGGCAAGGGCAATGTCTTGCCCTCTACTAAAATTTTAACCTTCTACCGGAAACAGCCTTTTGACCTAGAGGCGCGGTACTCGAGTCCCGAAGTCCTCCCCGGCAAGATATCTCCATTCATTGGCCGTTTCTCTGTCAAGGGAGTCAAGGCAGACCCTAAGACGGAATTCATGATCTGCAAGCTAAAGGCAAGAGTTAATATCCATGGTATCTTAAATGTAGAAAGTGGTTATTTCGTCGAAGAGCAAGAAGTCGAAGAGGAGATTAAGGAAGACAAGAAGGACGATGGCGAGAAGAAAGATCCTGATGTAAGTTTGTTTTTCTTTATCAACCCGCTAGGCAGACTGGCGGACTGCAGCTCTGGCGCTGTAACATCCCTATAACTAACTTCTCTTTTCTGTTCCAGGCCATGGAGACCGATGACAAAAAGGATGACAGCAAGCCTAAGACGCGAAAAGTGAAGAAACAAGTCCGCAAAGGCGATCTACCTATTGTCGCTGGAACTACTTCTCTCGACACAAACGCCAAGACCACTTTGTTGGAGAAAGAGGCGGCCATGATTATGGAAGATAAACTAGTGGCCGACACAGAAGAGAAGAAGAATGAACTTGAGACTTACATCTATGACATGCGTAACAAGCTGGACGACCAGTATGCCGACTTCGCCAGCGATGAAGAGAAGGACAAGCTAAGGGCTAAGCTCACCGAAAGCGAGGTAAGTTCTGCGCATTCCCCATCTTATGGATGCAGCGTGGCTGACTTTTATTAGGATTGGCTGTATGAGGAGGGCGAGGACACCACAAAGGCTGTCTACGTCTCCAAGATAGACGAGATCCGTTCTATGGCGGGTCCCATCACTCAGAGGTACTTTGACAAGGTAGAGGCCGACCGCCAAGCCTTGCAGGCCAAACTTGACGCCGAGGCGGCCGCAAAGAAGGCGGCTGAGGAGGAAGCCCGTAAAGCAGCTGAGCCGGAGAAGAGCGAGGGCAACAAGGATGAGGAAATGACAGATGCCGAAGCCGCTAAGCCCGAGGGCGAAGAGCCTCAATCTTAGGAGTATTGGCCGAACAGCGGGTCGAGCAGAACAGCTCATATGGCGGTATGAGAAGATGAGGTCGCAGCCCATGAGAAGAGTTTTTAAAAAGTAATGACTGCAATGGAATAGGTTCGGGACTCACTGGATGTTTCGATGATGGTTTGGGAGGATTTTGGCCCCCATCCCGACCGGATATTGCGGTGTTAGAGATAGACTACGGCGGCTCAATCAGTACACGAGGCCGGCTGCAGACTCCAGATAGACCTTATCCGGATACGGGTATGTTCATAAATATGACATTTTCTTTGGCGTGACATTCGGTGGACAGTGAGATGCTGCCAAGCGAAGCTGTTTTACCTGGTGTTGTTGCTTCTAGGTATACCTATCTCCGTAGAAGAAATAATCAGACTATAGCTGGACAAGTAGTTTGCTGGCTCGTAGGTGGTGACGGTAACAAGTGAAACCGAAACATCTGCCATTTAATGCTATTTATGAAATAGACCGGAATGATGAACAAGTAGAGAAACGCCTTGTAAGCTTGTAAGACAGTAGTAGATGATAAATAGAGTCTCACTTCTCGGTAGATCTGCTATTCCGTGAACCAGTCACCAACAAACCAACGGACAGAAAAGGCTGTCTACACAAACCACATTACCTGAATCCCATCTTACCATACCTAATCACATGATTACACGCAAAGAAAATTATCACCATCCACCCGACTAGCTATCCATGTCTAGCGGCCGCGAACCAGCATGTAAAAAACAAACAGCCACCAAGCCCCCTTTTCTCTTCCCTAGGTATTTCCCATGCACCGGTCATAACGTACTCCAAGATCATCTCCTACCAATCATCTCATCAGACGATGGGGCCTCGTGGCCTAATGGCTAGGGCGCTAGATTTCGGTGCTCAATCATCGGGTTCTCTAGAGATTGTCGGTTCGAGTCCGGCCGAGGTCGTCGTTAATCATCATTATCATCATGATATTCGTCAACTCTTCATTCCGAATTGGTGTAGTGGCTAACATTTGACGCTCTCAAGTCTGGTTCTGATCTCCCTTATGGGTGTTAGGAATTAGGTAGATGTGCCGTCAAGCCCGGGGTTCGATTCCCCGATTCGGAGTTACTTCTTTTGCTGAACTTTTTGACTAGCGATTATATCGTATGAAGAGTAAACTAGGTAACTGTTCTTATTCACTTTTTTTCTAAGATAATATTTTTACGATATGGTTTGCTTTATTTAGTACGTAGGTTGTGGCCAAAAGTCTGGACCATGCTTAAAAATTATGTACAGTGTATTTATTTACCACTTACGGTAAGTACTTCCCAATTAGGAAAGAGACATTAATTCTTCCTAGACCGCTAATGGCTTGGCAATTTACGTTTCGGTCTGATAACGATCCGTAAAGTAAAATATACGTTAGTTTCGGGCCGTTAGCAGTCTGGCAAGAATTAACCCTTTTTTCCTAATTAGGAAGTACTTACCGTAAGTAGTAAATAAATACACTGTACATAATTTTTAAGCATGGTCCAGACTTTTGGCCACAACCTACGTAGTATAGTCATATAAGTTAACTAAAGGTACTTACTTAATTAATTACACTGATACAGCGGTATAAAACGTGCCTAGTCAAGTATTATGGGCTTTTGTGGCTCCGGGTCCCGCTTCGCCGCCGGGGGAAGGGCAGGGGGTTTTTGGTGCAAGTATCTCGAAATAAAATACTTCTTTCGCCAGCGGGTCGCGTTTTAGCGTCTCCATAATACCTGACAAGGTACGTTTTACCAGTACTGGACTATGTAAGTATGTTGTACTTGATGAGATGTGTTCTATCGATAAGTTTGATAAGAGTGTTTACCTAATTGCTCGCTTATGTTCTTATCGGTACCCAGCCCCTCGGACTTTTGGCGTTGATTCCGGCATTCTACTTGCGTATGTCCATGTACGGGTACTTGCTTGCTTGCTCGACAAGCCTTTCACAAATTTAATTTATCCACTGAAATTGTGCAACCCCCCGCAGCGTCATCAGTCGGCTAGCTGCCTACTACTGAATCCCACTCCTGTACTATATACATAGCAGACCCATACGTAGCAGAGAGCGCTGGAGTCTTTTTTCTTTCGTTGTGTGCAGTCTTTTGCCTTCGGAGATAAGCGTAAGAGAGAATAGGGCAATGTCTCGGGAGTTTTCTGGGACATGACTCTAGAATACGCATACCTTATACCTACCTATCCTTAATCCGCCTCTCTTCGGTCGTCTCGACATCATCGCATCTGTCAGTCACCCCGCCTCGTCTTGCCTCCTCTCGCCTTGCCTCCTCTGCTCGGCGACTCGTGGACTTGCCCCGACACGACACGGCACGACACGGCACGACACGACACGACCCAACCCGACCGAAGACACGCTCTTCTCACGTTCATTCAACCCCACTACGCTTTGCTACGTAGTACGGCTCTGTCTGCAGCATCCCCGACGCTGTCAAGCTACAGATCCAGCAAGCCTTCAAGATGCCGCCGAAAAAGAAGGGAGGAAAGAAGGCGGCTGACGATTGGGAGGCCGACCTTGGTGAGAGTATTGCACCCACCAATGGCGAGGCCGCTCCCGCCGCCGACGCCCCCGCCGACCAGGACGAGGACGGTGATGCGCCCGTCGGTGGCCTTATGGCCATAAGGAAGAAGGCCATGGAGAAGCGCAAGAAGAAGGGCTTGTCCGAGAACTTTATCGATGGCGGAGCGCCGCAACCCGCCACCCCAGAGCCCACCGACATCACCTCCTTTCAAGCCCCCCAAGAAGCAACCGCCGAGGACGAGTTTGCTCTGCCAGAGAAGAAGGGAAAAGGAGGGAAGCAGAACAAGAACCAAGCTGCTGCCAAAGCTCCCGCTCCAGCTGCTGATGGAGATGATGTCGGCGACTCGGGCAGGGTGCTCACGAAGGCCGAGAAGGAGAAGTTGAGAAAAGAGAGGGAGAAGCAGAGGAAAAAGGAACAGGTTGGTATCATCACATGTCTCGGTTGACTTCAAGCTCTGACCTTCGCTATCTCGTCTAGGCTGCCAAAAAGAAAACGACAACGCCCGCACCGGCGCCCGCTGCGAAGGCTGCAGAACCCGCCAAAGCCCCTGCTGAAGAGAAGAAAGAGGCTCCTGCTCCCGCTCCAGCACCCGCCACAGAGGCACCTGCAAAGAAGGGGAAAAAGCTGCCAGCGCATTTGGCCGCCATTCAGAAGCAACAAGAAGAATTACGGCGGCAACGTGAGGAAGCTGAACAAGCTGCCGCAAATGAGAAGGCTCGCTTAGAAGAGATAGAGAAACAGGAAGCCGAAGAAGCAAAAAGAAGAGAAGAAGAAAAGGCTCGTAAAAAGCAGAAAGAAAAGGAGAGGATCGAACAGCTTAAGAAAGAAGGAAAGTATCTTACCAAGGCTCAGAGGGAAGAGAGGGCTCGCAATGAGAGGAAGCTACAGCAAATGATTAATGCTGGTCTCCAAGTTGGGCCTTCGGAAGACGCCTCCGAGGAAAAGAAGAAGAAGGTTACCTACGACAGCAAGAAGCGTGGCAAGAAGAACGATCAAAAGGTTGTGCCAGTTTCCTCTAGTTTACGTAAGGATTGCTTTTACTAATCCCTTGTAGGTGGATGAGGAGAAAGCCCTAGCCGAAGCTGCCGAGCGGGCAAGAATACAAGCCGAAGCTGCAGCAAAGGAGGCTGAAGCGAAGGCTGCTGCAGAAGCCGCCGCGCAAGCAGCCGCTGAAGAAGCTGCCAAGAAGGCTCAAGCAGAGGAGGAAGTCGAGGATGATTGGGAGGCAGCCGCAGCTTCAGAAGATGATGTGAAGGAGAGCTGGGACGCCGATTCAGATGAAGACGCCGAAAAGAAAGCTGCTGCAAAAGAGCCCACCAAAGAATTACCCTCGCGACCCAAGGCCAAGGAATCTGAGTCTGAGTCTGAGTCTGAATCAGAAGAGGAATCTTCTGAAGATGAGGAGCAAACAGCCGCTCGAGCTGCTGTGGCCCAGCGTAAGAAAGAGGCTGCCGAACGAAGAGAGAAAGCTCACCAAGCTGCTCTGGCTGCCAGATCTAAGGAAAACCTTCGCAGCCCTATCTGCTGTATCCTGGGTCATGTCGATACAGGAAAGACAAAACTGCTGGACAAGATTCGGCAAACAAACGTCCAAGAAGGAGAAGCGGGAGGTATCACACAGCAAATCGGTGCTACATATTTCCCAGGTTTGTCCCAACGAGTTCCCGCAGTTAGGGTTGCCAACTAATTCTTTACCAGGTGAGGCTATCAAGCAGAAGACTGCTGTCGTAAACCAGGACGGAAAGTTCGAACTAAAAGTCCCCGGTCTTTTGATTATCGACACACCAGGTCACGAGTCTTTCTCCAACTTACGTTCCAGAGGTTCTTCGCTTTGCAACATTGCAATTCTCGTTGTAGACATCATGCACGGTCTCGAGCCTCAGACCCTTGAATCAATGAAGCTGCTCCGTGACCGGAAGACACCCTTCATTGTCGCACTCAACAAGATCGACCGTTTGTACGGTTGGAAAAAAGTCGATAACAATGGGTTCCAGGAGAGTTTGGCTCTTCAGAACCGAGGTGTACAGAACGAATTCAAGAACCGATTGGAGCAGACTAAACTCGCCTTTTCCGAACAAGGTTTCAATGCCGAACTTTTCTACGAGAACAAGTCCATGGCTCGATACGTTTCATTGGTTCCAACCTCCGCTCATACAGGAGAGGGTATCCCAGATATGCTAAAGCTCATTGTGCAGTTGACTCAGGAAAGAATGGTTGGTTCGCTCATGTACCTCTCGGAGGTACAAGCTACCGTTCTCGAAGTAAAGGCAATCGAGGGTTTTGGTATGACTATCGATGTCATCCTGTCCAACGGTATTCTTCGAGAAGGCGATCGAATAGTAGTGTGTGGTGTTGAAGGAGCTATCACTACGAACATTCGAGCGCTGCTTACTCCGGCAGTCATGAAAGAGTTGCGTGTCAAATCACAGTACGTACACAACAAGGAGGTGAAGGCAGCCATGGGTGTCAAGATTAGTGCACCTGGCCTTGAAGGCGCCATTGCTGGGTCTCGATTGCTCGTGGTCGGACCTGATGATGATGAAGAAGAATTAGAAGAAGAGGTTGAAGCAGACTTGAATAAGCTGTTTAGTCGTGTGTCTACATCGGGACGAGGTGTCAGCGTGCAGGCGTCAACCCTTGGTTCGCTCGAAGCCCTGCTCGATTTCTTGAAGGATTGCAAGATTCCCGTGGCCAACGTTGGTATTGGCCCTGTATTCAAGCGTGACGTGGTACAGTGCAGTACGATGCTGGAAAAGAATCCCGACTACGCTGTCATGCTCTGTTTCGACGTCAAGGTAGACAAAGAAGCGCAGGCCTACGCCGAGGAAAACGGAATTAGGATTTTCACTGCTGACATTATCTACCATCTTTTTGACTCCTTTACAAAGCACATGGAGGAGCAACTTGAGAAGAAGAAGGAGGAGTCGAAGCTACTCGCTGTCTTCCCCTGCGTCCTTAACACCGTGGCCGTCTTCAACAAGACCAACCCTATTGTGGTGGGTGTTGATGTCGTAGATGGTAACCTCCGAGTCGGCACACCCATAGCTGCCGTGAAACAGAACCCCACAGGCGGCAAGGAAGTTGTTAGCCTTGGTCGAGTGTAAGTTTATCATTCCATCACACAAGCCAACGCACATGTTTCCCCTTCAGAGCTGACGTATTATAAATAGAACATCGATTGAAAGAGATCACAAGCAGATCCCAATCTGCAAGAAGGGACAGCCCTCAGTGGCGGTCAAGATCGAGATGGGCGGCCACCAGCCGACGTACGGCCGTCAACTCGAGGACTCGGACACGCTGTATAGCTTGATTTCGCGTGCTAGCATCGACTGTCTGAAGGAATTCTACAGGAAAGAGGTCAGCAACGACGAGTGGGCGCTTATCATCAAGCTCAAGTCCCTGTTCGATATTAACTAGGTAGGCGGTCGATGGACATAGCTCGAGCGATGGTATTTCTTAGCGGCATGTGTTTTACATCCCACCCTGGGAACTGTCGTGCTATGGCTATGATTACGGCTACCTTTGATAACACGTGTATTTATGAGCGGACGACAGGGA